TTGTCAGGCAGGTCCCGCTAATTGTAATTAATTAAGATACCTAATTATGTAAAAATATTACATAAATATATATGTAGAATTAATATATATATATATATATACGTATGTGAATCTATATGTGTATATATATATATAATTTTTAAAAATATTTTTATTAATATATAGGTATATATATAGTGATATATACGTATATATTTATGTATGTAGATATATATATTATTTCGTTCTACATGTATTTTGATATAAATATATATATATATATTAATATCACAATACAGTTAGAACGAAATAACACACATCTATATATTTTTAATTATTTTTTAAATTTTATTTTTTAACGTATTTACATTTTTATTACATTATTTATAAATATATATATAACAATAATTATATATATATTTAATCAATATCAGTCTACTAGTAATTTGATATTAATACATATATATATATATAATTATATATATATTAATAGTAAAATACACCTAGACATTGTGTGTGTGTGTGTGTGTGTGTGTGTGTATGTATATATATATATATATATATATATATATATATATATATACTTAGATCATATATCTAAATATACATTTTTTTTTTACACTTTTTAATTTAATTAAATTTTATTTCCAGCCAGCAGGGGGACCACCTGTCATTACAGGCAGCCCCCCTGCTGGCAATGCAGGAGGCAGCCTACCCGGCCATGTGATTGTGAGGTCCTCGCAAGGACCTCACTCTCACATGGCCGGGGGGCACCGGAGGAGGAGGATCTGCCGCGGGGGGGCTCCCTGGGAGTCCCCCCCACTTCGATCACCGGCGTGGGACCGCTGTCGACCGGGTAAGTAATGAAAGACCGGAGGGCGTAGAATTACGCCCGGCGGCATTTAGAGCCGCCTAAAATAGGGCGTAATTGTACGCCCTCCGGTCTTAAGGGGTTAATATGAGCTTCAAGTGATCAGAGCAAAGATCCAAACATATACAACCTATACAAAGTTGAGTTCTGGTATAGCACATAACATGAATATATCCCAAATGTACAAAGAGTGCATAAAAATACATAAGAATATTTCCAAAGTGCTAATGCTTACTAAGTGATGTCAACTAATGTAATATTACTAAGTAAAGAGCATCTACACCAATAGCCAAAAAAATAATAATGGCACTCAAGCACTAATCTATGGTAGGTCCTAGATAAATAAAACCCACAAAAAAAAACATCCTTTTGGAACAGCGGCTGGCTCCCTTATTTACCACTATAACATCTTAAAGCATAGAACTTAGTAGAGCTAACCATACAGATATCTTAGCCATAATTTTATATAGTTAGTAAGAGATCCTCTATTTAACATATATAAATAATTGTGAATACAATATAAAAGAAGGATTGTCTTGGAAGCAATAGTTTTGTCTTTTAGATATTAATCATATAAAAATATAAATATAGACATATAAAATCCATTATAGCAGAGTTTATAAGATTAAATTAAATGCTTGCAAATATCATTAATAGGTTAACATACCCTTCTGAACATGTCATCATGTCAGCCTCTCTGTCATTTTAAGATGGAACAGCGTCTGTCTCCAAGTCTCTGCTCTGTGTCTTAACATTTTAAGCGTACACCTATTTATACCTTTAGGTGTCTTCCATTTAGGGTCACCATAGTTCATATATGAAAAAGTAACACTTTTTTTTACGTTATTCATTTTATGACCTCCCTTAACTTGGCAAAAATAAAAGTCCATAACTAAAGGGTGCATACATCATGGAAATTTTCCTGACTTAGGTCAAGATGGCATCTTAAAGTCTGAACATCCTTATCTACTAAGGTTACCACAGTATATTGTGTACTGAAAGAGTCAAAGGATAGCCTTGAAGCTTGTTTATGCATTATTGTTATTGTAATTCGTCTGGGACAAAATGGCGCAAACATATTATGCACTGAGGTTATTGCTTAAAGAAACAGTTATGAAAAACAATATGTTCCTTTTCTAACACGTTGTCAGTTTGCAATATCTCTTAAAGACAAAGTACACAGTTTAAGAAATACAACATTTCATTCTAAAACTTGTAATATTTGCATTTGCCCATAACACCCTCACCATTAAACTGAGGGCATTGTACAGCATTTCAGCCTTAAATTAGTAAACCAAAGTTCTCCAACTGTCTTTAGGTTTTTTATGCTCCCAGCATCTTAGATCATTGTTGTAACAGTAAAACATCCGTAGTGTGATCTTTGCCTGTAAAGGTGGTTGATTAAAATGAGCAAAGCTTTTGTCTGGGAAAGAATTGAAAAGAACACCAGGTTCCAGAGTAAGATATTCTTGGATAGATCTGGATACGAATTGTAATCCAAAGTTAAAAGTAGTAATTGTATTTGTAATCCAAAGTCTTTAAAGGCCTGTAGAAGTTTACATTCCTTAGATACATTGCTGGAGGTTGTGTTTGTAGAATACCTGGGTATTTGTTGTAGAGTATTGTGGGGATATTTATGGGATGATAATATTATACAGTTGAGAATTGCCCACTATTTCAATTCTCTTAGATCTTAGAGATTGTTATCATGTAAGTGAAATGTATTCCATACAAATAAAATCACAATTTGTTATAAAAATAGATATAATTTATTGTGACAAATAAAATAATAATAATATTAGGCAGCATGCATGATAATAATCAGTGAATATTTAGTATAACGTCGTATACAATGGCAATGGCTAAACATCCAAAGCTACAGCATCAACTGATTTATGAGGGTGCTTCACAGACACAGAAAGCTAAACTTCCAGCGAAAAGCCATAAAACCTTGGCTAACAGATCAACTGAGTAACCCTTTCAATGCTGGCTAGATCCTCCTAGGCATATTATATCCTATTTTCATGTGATTTTCAATTAAAATAACATTCGAACCAGCTCATGAATCATTTCCTGGAACCATCCAATAAATCCCAAAATGGAGTCCGCTCTGTTCTGAGTGACTCTGGCAATATACACTTTTAATTTCTATCTTAGCACAAAATATCTGCCGATATAAATATCTTGACAGTATAGATTGTAGAGTCCAGCTTTCCAAATATTTGGCTAGAATTGGTTGTAGATATTGAATCAGCATAGATACGAACAACATTGAAGGAACTGCTGGAAGCTCGAGGCATAGTGGAAAGCAATAAACCGAAAGGCACGCTAATAGCCGAATTACTGGAGAGTGATCAAACCGGCGAACAACAAATGGCGAATGCAGAGGAAAGAGAGTTCCAAAGGGATGTGAGATGGAGACTGAGCCTGGTAGGACCTAACCCTGCACCGGAGATCGTGGTACAGATCTTGGCACAAGCTACAAAGACACAGAATGCCAGGGAATCCCGAGAAGCCAGAGACAGATCACCCCCTGTGGATATATTGTCGCTATCTGGATCTACAACGGGGCGACAGCGAAAAATCAACTATGCTGCATTTAAAAGCTTTGTGGAAGGTGAGATGGATATCGATAATCATTTACAAGATTTTGAGAGACAATGTGTGTTAGAAGATTTAGAAAGAGCGAACTGGGCTGCGGTATTAAGCAGCAAATTATCAGGCAGAGCAGCAGAAGCATTGAGAGCCGTGCCAGATGGGGATATACAAAACTATGAAAAAAATAAAAGAGATTTTGTTAGCTCAGTACGCTGTAACTCCTGAAGCCCAAAGAAGGAAATTCCAGGCCCTCAGGAGACCGAGTGGGCATTTCGTATGCAACGCGCTGCCAGTAACTGGATGCAGGGGAACAAGGCAACTACCTTAGAGGATGCCATACAATTGATATTACTGGAGCAGTTCTTTGATTACATGCCAGCGGAGGTTAGAGACTGGGTCAGAGACAGAAAGCAACATACGGTGGAGGAGGAAGCAAGGTTGGCAGATGAATTCCATGAGAGCAGACGGCTGGATGGAAATCGAGGGTTCCCTGGGCCACGGCCTTCATCTGGTTCTCCAACTACACCACAGAGGGTAACTCCACCGGGGAGCAATACTACAAGTACGGGATATCAAAAGACCGCTCCGATGTGTTATGGGTGCAAACAAGTGGGACACATCAAACCCAATTGCCCACAACGTACTACAGACAGCTGGGGGCGGACACCGGTGCCACCGACCAAAGCAGCAGCACACTGTGTACAAGAAGATTACGACTCTCCGGCTCAAGGGGCACTCAGTAACAACAGCGAAAATTGGTCCACGTTACATGAGGTGAACCCCGTACAAGCTGCGGGGGATAACCGGGCACACCATCGCCAGTCGGTAAAGTTAAATGGGCAAGAAGCTAAGCTTCCCAATTGTTAGAGGAGTTTGGGGGCATGTTTTCGGCAGCCCCAGGGTATACGACCCTGGCAGTCCACAGAATGGAGACCCCAGGCCAGTTACCACTGCGGCAGCAGCCCTCCCGAATCCCTTAAGCACTACGAGAAAGCATGTTAAAAAAAATCCAGGATGATGCGATGAACACCTAGCTCCAGCTATGATATCCGTACCCAATCTGCTCCGCACATTTACCCTGTGGAGAGTCATAGTGGAGTATTCACTGTTAACCCCCCTCTGCACCTAAATAATAAACGCATAGGATGTTCCAACTTTTAATATCCAATATAAATGTTTGGAAAGTTCGATTCTTCCACATGACGGGGGAAAGAAATGTTCATAATTCTGAGAAATGGCATATACACATGCAGCTTTATATATATTTTCTCTCTGGAATACTTATATTGCATGATATCTGTTTAACAATCTCGGTGATTTTAACCACTATTCCGTGTAATGATTTACAGTACTCACAGTAGCCATACACAATGGTCCTGTTAACTCAGAATCCTTTGTATGAGACTTTTGTCTTATTCTTATTTTTATTTTCTTTGCCAAATAGGAATTAAATCGTTTTTATTTTTAATTTGTTGTGTTGAGTCCTGTACATTTCATAGGGTTTTAATTCACATATTTGCAAAAACAAATTTATAACATATTAAAGAAAATACATTATACATATCACTATATATATACATGTACTGTCAAAGTTTAACAAGAAAAAAATATTTTCTGTTAGCCAACATGGCATTATCCCGGCACATTGCATGACTGGCTGCCAATGAGGTACAAGCTTGGTGTCATTCTGATAATGGGGCCCCGTGTTATCCTCCTTTAACAAATCCCTCTAGTACTGACAGAGTACCACCTGTGCCAGGGATGGGCTGACAGAGGGGGCAGATAACCTCTGCACTGCACCTGTTTGTACAATCTGAGACAGTAAGGGGGTTATTCGCTAAACTCTGATTTGAAGTGAAGTGAAAGCCTTATTGCATCTAGAGTAGACAAAAATAGCTGATCTGAAAGCATTCACCAACTCAGCTGTAGTCAGAGCTTGTCTATTGTAGGCTAAATTTGGAAATTCAGATTTAATTTTGCTAAGTTTCAGGTGTTCGGGGGGTGCAAGGGGGACCAGAGGGCACTATAGGGTTAGGAATACAGATTTGTATCCCTAACACTATAGAATCCCTTTAAAATATTTTGCTGTGCACGCAATCTGCTTAGATTCAAATGGTGCTAAAATATTTACCAGCAAGAGGAAGGTTTATAGTATATTGAAAGTGATTTACTAAGCAGGAAAAAGCTGGAGAGCCTTCTCTCTCTCCCTTGTTCATAAAAAGAAGATGCTAGATCATTTTAAAATTTTCATAAGATTTACCATGTCTGACTGCAAAGGGTATTTATAAAGGGCAATTTTGGTGCAAATTTCTAAACGTGGGGATATCTCCATGGAAACTCAAGTATTGCTCTTTATACAGAACTTCAAAGTCTAAGCTCCCCACATTATCTCCAGCTCTGTTTGGGCATCAATTCTTCAACCGGCACACTCACCCACTACTAAGGACAATGTTGGCCTGGGTTATAATGAACTACGTCTTTCCTAGTCTGGCTAGAGTCATGCAGTTGGCTGTGCAGGTCCAAAAACTCGACTGGTGCCTCATCATCTGGTACTCAAACAGTTAAACTTTGCGTTTTCAATTTAACTTTCATGTGTAACTGTTATTACAAATATTTACTACTGAGATTTGTGGTTTATAACGTTGTGTAGATTTGTTACATGAGAAGTGCACTGCTAAGATATGACATCCGTGATAAAGTTGCACACACGTGATGTAGCTTGTGTTTATTGAAATATAATCTAACAGAATGGTTTCAATCAGGGGGGCCCAAAGGGTGGATCCCCGGATGTTTTTGAGCTGCTGTTTCCATGATGCTTTGTCATTCTAAAGGCATGCTAAGCATCGTGGGAGTTGTGGTTCTATGAAGACTGGGGATCTACCTTTTGGGCACCCCTGGTTTCAATCAATAGGTGTAGGCTAGTAAATCATATTCTCTGTGTGGATGACAAGTGAAAGGACCTATAACTTTTTTTTATTTTACTGTGGTCGCTAGTTTTGACAGTAACTGCACTGATGTTTGGAGAGTGCGTGTCCCATTTACCACAAGCTGAGCATCATGGGAAACGTACTCAACAAGCATTGATATTGCCATTATTAAAGATTACTGGCTGTGTACTGTTCACTCAATGCACAAATTGTCTTAAACCTGCTACGCCTGACCTTGATATTCAATAGTTAAACCCACAGAATTGTTAGCCTGTTCTAATTCTACCCTAAGGAAATATGACGTTATATATATTGTTAATAAAGTTATTGTTCTGTTAAAAAAAAAAAAAATCCAGGATATGTTAGAACTGGGAGTAATAGAGCCGTCTCAAAGCCGTGGGCTTCCCCAGTGGTCCTGGTTCCTAAAAAGGACGGTACCACAAGGTTCTGCGTGGATTACCGCAATCTAAACGATAGGACAGTCACAGAAGCCTACCCCATGCCCAGAGTAGACGTGACCGCATGGATGGGGGGAATTATTTGACCACTATTGATTTGTGTAAGGGATATGGGCAAATCCCCTTGGAGCCTGAGGCCATTCCAAAATCAGCATTTGTCACCCCATTTGGCCTATACCAGTTTAAGGTTATGCCATTTGGGATGAAGAATGCACCAGCTACGTTCCAAAGGATGGCTGACCGGCTCCTAGAGGGATTTCAGGGCTTCGCTTGTGCTTACCTGGACGATATAGCTATCTTCAGTAGCACTTGGGAAGCCCACCTGGAACACATCTCAGTAGTGCTCAATCGAATTCAGAATGCAGGGCTCACCTTGAAGCCTGAGAAATGCCACATAGGCATGGCTGAAGTCCAGTATTTAGGACACAGAGTAGGGTCAGGGAAACAGAGGCCAGAACCAGCCAAGATTGAGGCCATCACCCAGTGGCCCCAACCCTGGACTAAAACACAGTTCATGGCGTTCTTGGGCACCACAGGTTATTATAGGAAATTTGTTGCTGAATTCAGTGCCCTAGCCAAACCACTGACAGACCTCACCAAAAAGTCCCTACCCCGACAAGTAGCCTGGTCCCCTGAGTGCGAGGAGGCTTTCCAGAAACTCAAAGCTGCGTTTAGTGCATCTCCTGTGTTGCTGATCATACTAAAAGGTTTCTCGTTCACACAGATGCCTCAATGCTTGGACTGGGAGCAGTATTAAGCCAGGTAGGAGACAATGGCATGGACCACCCGGTGGCGTATCTGAGCAGGAAATTTTTACCACGCAAAGTCAGCTATGCCACCATTGAAAAAGAGTGTCTGGCATTAGTTTGGGCACTTAAAAAGCTGCAACCGTACCTGTATGGATGTTCCTTCACAGTGATGACTGAACTCAACCCTTTAATTTGGCTTAACAGAGTGGCTGCTGATAACCCCAGACTACTCAGATGGAGCTTGGCACTGCATCCCTATAATTTCACGATGCAGTATCGCCCCGGGAAGCAGAATGCCAATGCGGATGGCCTATCTCGGCAGACGGAACTAGAAAAGTAACTATATCATCCGGACATCCCTTAGCTGACCCGTTAGGATCTAAGCAGGTATGCCATTCCATGGGACTAAGGGGGAGCTGTGTAACGAAATCCCATGTTAAACAGACTAGGAGAAATGGCCTTTTCGGTTATTTATGCATGTGTGTAGTGATTTCATGCAAATACAAATAAAACGAACAAACTGCCGAATCACCCGACCTCCTATTGAGGTCGTGTGGCGCTCATTAACCATTAAAATGGCGGCGATGCCCTGGAACTCTTTTCAGACACTTATTCCGCCGATCACCGCTGGTGCCTACCAAGGTCCTCGTTCATACGGATGGAAACACACGAATGCCGGGAACATTTTACCGTTCGGGACTTTTATGCGATGCGAAAGAGACCGACCCCAGATGGCTATAGTTATGGAACTCTTTCTCGGATACAAACACGCAAACCACCGGTGAAGTCCAAACTTCATTCGACGATATTGAGAACTGTGTTTGTGGAATCTGAGCGCTATTCGACTATAATGTGCGCTCAGAACCAAACTATCTGGGGGTATGTGGGACTTAAAGTTTATGTTCAGTAAAATATAAGTTATAGATTTTAATACTGTTTTGGGAATATATAAAAAGACATATTTTTATCTACCTGGAGATAATTAAGGTTTCTTTTACTAACTTAATTATCTCCAGGATAGAGAGGAGGGATTTACCTATGCAAAGGAGAGTGCTTATGTTGGAGACACTGCGATTGGCTACTGTAATTCTTTTGTCCCAGTATTCCATCTGGTCCCCTAGGGGAGTGTCCACCAGGTGGGAGACCTGCATAAATACCGGGCAGGTAGCCCCCATTAAATCAGATTGTTTTACCCCTTCATGAAGTCTCGACTCATGTTTGGGGATTGGGAGCTATAATCACTTTACTTCAGCTAGATTTCGGGAGAACCTACAAGGATCAGCACTGCAGGAATAGCAGGATCCTTTACATTGGCAAACTTCCAATTTATAGTAATTCAAAAAGTACGTTAGATATTAATATTTCAATAAACAGTACATCAGTAATGTGGCAATAAGCAAATGCTTATGATTACTAAACACATGTATTATAGAATTTCCCATATTGGACCACCAATATTTCTTTTCAGGAGTCAGAAGTATATTACCTCTCTCTATAAGAGCTTGTCCTAGCCATGAAAAAGCTTTTGGGCAAGTCTATCTTTCCTCCATAGGAAAAACAACCAACATATAACCTTCAATGGTTATTATGTAATTAACCCCTCTAAACGATAGGACGATTTATGCGGATACCAAGTGGATTATTTCTGGATATCCTTGCAAGCATAAACTCTGCATCATGACTGAGACATTGGATATGCGATGTGATCCAGTGACCACAGATAAGCGTTGGTAGACACATTGCATTAAAGGGCCTGTTAACGACCAACTACATGAGGAGAGGGACCAAGCTTTGTTATAAGTATAAGTCCATACACGTATTACAATACCAGGCTTTCAATTTGTTACCACAAAGCAAAATGCAGTTGTGGATATAAACTCACGACGTATCATAAGAAAAACAGTTTGAACACCAGACTAACACTCGAGATCAGTGAACAGTGGACCAAAATAGATAAATGAAATCTTATCAATTAATATACTTTCTTTAAATTACTTTATCCTCTGTATTAACTATGAAATATTAAAAGTTAAAACAATAACATTTAAAAGCCAACTTTTAGTGTGCATAGGAATTACAAGGCCGTTCATAATGTGAGATAAAGAACAGCTTTTTAAAACTGAACTGAGTGTTTAAACAAAATGACCTTGCACTGAAAATTCACTTGCAGGGAAAAAAAAACAAAAAAAAAACAACTTTTTTCTTTTTTAGTAAATTATTTTATTAAATAAACATAGTTAGAACCTTCCTCAAAGTCCCGATGACTTTGCAAGAAACATGTCGTCCTTAAATACTGGGTAGGTCTATTAAACAGTGAAATAGCATGTTTACCCTGTGTATTATGTTGTCACTTATTTATAAACAACATTGATATTTAATCTTATTTTTATGTTTTATGAAAACCTAGTTTATTAAATTCACTGAGATTACATGTGTCTGATCTGATTAGTCAGTAGTACAATATCATTGTTCTAATGTCCTTACTGCTAGCACTACAGGTACAGTGGGATAGTACCAGTGATTTAAGTAAGCTTTCCCTTTTAAAATTGGTGGACTTTAATCCTGTCATTGCAATAGACTAAAGACTGTACCTGAGTAAGCAAAGACATTATGTGCAGGAATTGTGCACTTTAAATAGTAGAATACTTATGCTCAGTGGCGTACACATGACCCATGGGGCCCCGGTGCAAAAATTGATCCGTGGGCCCCCCCCCACCCCCGCGCGGGCCGGGCCGCAACACATGGCGGTGGGCACCTGGTCGCAAGGGTTACAGGGCTGCGACACCGGTATGTACGCCAGTGCATGCAGATGCACACACACTTAAAGGACCACTCTAGGCACCCAGACCACTTCAGCTTAATGAAGTGGTCTGGGTGCCAGGTCGAGCTAGGGTTAACCCACTTTTTCATAAACATAGCAGTTTCAGAGAAACTGCTGTGTTTATGAATGGGTTAAGCCTTCCCCTATTTCCTCTAGTGGCTGTCCCATTGACAGCCGCTAGAGGCGCTTGCGTGCTTCTCACTGTGATTTTCACAGTGAGAGCACGCCAGGGTCCATAGGAAAGCATTATGAATGCTTTCCTATGTGACCGGCTGAATGCGTGCACAGCTCTTGCCATGCGTGCGCATACAGCCGACGGGGAGGAGAAGAGGAGGATCGGAGGAGGAGAGCTCTCCGCCCAGCGGTGGAAAAAAGGTAAGTTTTACCCCTTTCCAGAGCCGGGCGGGAGGGGGTCCCTGAGGGTGGGGGCACCCTCAGGGCACTATAGTGCCAGGAAAACGAGTATGTTTTCCTGGCACTATAGTGGTCCTTTAACCCCTTAAGGACACATGACATGTGTGACATGTCATGATTCCCTTTTATTCCAGTTGTTTGGTCCTTAAGGGGTTAAAGGACCACTACAGACACCCAGATCACATCAGCTCAATGAAGTTGTCTGGGTGTCAGGTCCCTCTAGTTTTAACCCTGCAGCTGAAAACATACTTCATACTGCTATGTTTCACTGAGGGTTAATCCAGCCTCTAGTGGCTGTCTCACGGACAGCCGCTAGAGGAGCACACTGAACGTCCATAGGAAAGCATTAAGTAATGCTTTCCTATGGGCGGTTTGAATGCGTGCGCGGTCGCATTCGGAGCTGAGAGGCTGAGGGATCCTCAGCGCCAAGGGAGTCCGGCGCTGGAGAAAGGTAAGTGCTGAAGACACACACACACACTTACAGACGCATACACACTAGCTAACAGACACACACATTTACTGACAGAGACACAGTCAGCGACAGACATACATACACACTCACTTACAAAACAAACACACACTCACTAACAGACATCAAACAGACTCACTAACACACACACTCAGTAAGACACACACAGTAACACACTCACTGACACTCACTAGCAGACACACACACTAACACTCACACTAACACACACACTAACACTCACTCTCACACTCTCACACACTAACACTCACTCTAACACTCACACACACTCACACTAACACACACACTAACACACACACTAACACTCACTCTAACACACGATTTTTTTTTTAAATTTAATCCCCCCAGCCTCCTTACCTTTTGGAGTGCTGGGGGATTCCCTGGGGTCCAGTGGTGCTGCTGGGCTCCTGGGCGGGTGGCCAGCCTGTCGGGCAGGCAGGCAGGCAGGCGCGCGCGCGAGGGAGCACTCAGTGCTTCCTCTTCAGCTCCCTCGCGCGCCGCGTAGGGATGCCGGCGCCGGAAGATGACGTCATCTTCCGGCTCCGGTATCATTGCGGTGCGCGAGGGAGCTGAAGAGGAAGCACTGAGTGCTCCCTCGCGCGCCCGCCTACCCGACCGGCCACACAGGGTCAGCAGGGCCAGCCTCAGGGGGGCCCTGAGGTGGTCGGCTCCTGGGCCCCCCAGGGGAAGAGGCTGGCCCTGGGCGTACATACCGGGTTGCAGGGGCGGCCGGGCCCCCTGGTGGGCCGGGCCCGGTCGCAGTCGCGACCCCTGCGACCCTGGTATGTACGCCACTGCTTATGCTATTCTAGTGAATTGGGCTGGCTGCTTAACACATCATTTAGTAAATTTTGGTCACATTTAAAGCTGTAAATGTATTTAACATTTTATTTAAATAAGCCTTTAATAATTTCAGTTTAAAAGTTAAATCAGGGCAAAATAATATTGTAAATATCCTATATATTTACAATATTATTTTGGCCTGATTTATCTTACATATATTATTTTTAATTATTTTATCAATATTTATTTTTCCAGAGCATTTAGAGAAGCAAATGATGTATAGCCACCTGTTGCCCTTCAGTTATATTGCTTTTTTATTAACAGACTTTTTAGGAGGGTAGTATAATTTCAACTCATTTTAGAAAAACAAATAAGTCAGCATGTATTATATAAAATAGATGCTGCAGTGAACTGCATGGTACTGCAATTTTTTAAATTTATTTTTTAAAGCCATGTCTTTCTCTTTATGGCTATGTGAATAGAAGCAATGTTTACAAGTTTCTGTATCTCCGCAACCTTGGCTGTAAACTCCAGACTCCAAAAATAGTTATGCTGTTATAATTCCTGATTTTCAATCAACAGCTAGCGTAACTGACAATATGGAAAATATCACTGTTTTATAAAACTTTTCTTATATAGTGGACATTAGAATCCAGGATGCAGAAATGCAATAATTAAAAATCCTGTCTCTCTGTCACTTCTGTGTCATCACTTTTCTTTTGACAACATATTGCATTAATCTTTTTCCTGCGCATGCATACTAAGCAGCTAAAAAGAGAACATATCCCCCTGCCTGCAATCCACTGTCCTGGAACTAATGGGCCATGCTGTGCTGGTGTATTAGGCATATCAGGGAGTTTACCTCTCTTATGATATTAAGATCCACAATTTCAGCATTGTATGCTAATTACGTTGTAACTGGCACCTGAACGCAAAGTGCCTTGTTCACATTAAAATCATCTCTAATGATGATCTCTCTCTTAGTCTGGGCTACAAATAGCTCAATAGATTCTTGATATTTCAAGACGTGTGCCATGACAAAGTATTGTGTCTTCTCTTACGTATAAGAGGTTACCTAGGTATATATTATTTTATAGTTAAAGCTTCCAAGTACAAGTCCCTTCGTGGTCGCCAATTGTAACCGCGGCTGGCTCCCTTATTTACCAAAATAACATCTTAAAGCATAGAACTTACTAGGGCTAACCATACAGATATCGTAGCCATAATTTGATATAGTTAGTGTAAGAGATCCTCTATTTAAAATATATAAATAATTGAGAATACAATATAAAATAAGGATTGTCTTCAAAGCAATAGTTTTTTTTTAGTCTTTTAGATATTTATTATATAAAAATATAAATATAAAATCCATTATAGCAGAGTTTATAAGATTAAATTACATGCTTGCAAATATCATTAACAGGTTAACATACCCTTCTGAACATGTCATCATGTCAGCCTCTCTGTCATTTTAAGATGGAGCAGCGTTTGTCTCCAAGTCTCTCTTCTGTGTCTTAACATTTAATTTATATAGTCCATATATAAAAAAGTAACACTTATTTTACTTTATTCATTTTAGGACCTCCCTTAACTTGGCAAAAATAAAAGTCCATAACTAATGGGTGTATACGGCATGGAAATTTTCCTGACTTAGGTCAAGATGGCATCTTAAAGTCTGAACATCCTTATCTACTAAGGTTACCACAGTATATTGTGTACTGAAAGAGTAGTAGTATAGCCTTGAAGCTTGTTTATGCATTATTGTTATTGTAATTCGTCTGGGACAAAATGGCGCAAACATATTATGCACTGAGGTTATTGCTTAAAGAAACAGTTATGAAAAACAATATGTTCCATTTCTAACACGTTGTCAGTTTGCAATATCTCTTAAAGACAAAGTACACAGTTTAAGAAATACAACATTTCATTCTAAAACTTTTAATATTTGCATTTGCCCATAATACTTTAATTATAAAAAAGAGAGTAAAATCCTTATAGTATGTTACTAGGGTAACTATATAAACTGACTAGTGGGGTATCAGCTACACATCACTGACGAGGCCCAAAGAAGGCTGAAATGATCATCTGGGGATGCTGTATCTCTCGTGCAGAGGGAACTTGCTGGCACTTTGGTTCTGGACTGCCCATAGTGGTGGGTTTCAGATATATTCTCTCTGTAATGCCACAAGTGAGCAAAAATTGATTTAAGACCTGAGCACTTGCTTAAAGTGACTTACGGTCTCTGTAGTAATGCCACTGTCTGCTTTGCTCACTCCCTCAGCCAGGTAGGTAAAGTGTCATACCTTAGATGCAGTCGCACTGCCCGTTCGGCTCGCCTCGCTCCCCCTTAAATACATGTCTCTTCTCTCCTCCCTTTTATGTATTTTCTTCCCCCTTCTTCCATGTTTTTCGGTGTCCCTTCCCTTCACTGATATTTCCCCCCATGTCACTACCTCTTTCCATCTTTTACTCCCCCTCCCTCCCAAGTAGCAGTCAGCCTGTTCCCTCACAGAGCTGGTGCTCTAGACGAAGGTAGTGCCAGCTCTGCTCACTCATACACCGATGGCCCCTCTCCCTGCTGTTTTAAGTGTCATGGAAGGGGGTTTCCTTGATGTCCGGCACTGTGTGGGTCAGAATGAGCGCCGTATAGTTACGTCACACCAAAGCAGAAGTGGAGGGGGTGGGGAGTCACCTGCTAGTTTAATATGCGTGCAGATCCTTATGGAGCCGCACGCAGCTTGCAAGGAAGAATGTGTCTGGATGCGGCTTAAAATGTCGCCTAGGGCCAGATCTATTGCTCACTGACACACACATGCTCACTTTAGACAAGCTCACTAACACACATGCTTACTAAACAAGCTCACACACATGCTCACTACAGACAAGCTGACCAATACATACACGCTTCCTACAGACAAGCTCACGAGCACACATGTTCACTATAGAAAAACAATGGTCATGGCAATGGTGGGATCTAAAGTGCATGTGTAATGGTTGCCATGAGTAAAAGTAGCTTTACAAATCTTTACTTACATTTAAAGAGACCCTGTCATTCTTTTCATCATGTTTACTTTTCTAATGTCTCTATATCTAATTGATTACACTCCCCTCGTTGCCACTTGTCCTTATTTATGCTCTTCTGTAAGATTGGTTTTACTGATAGATTGTGGATAAATTTGATAGGCAAATGAAATAGAACCTTTACTGAGAAAACAATTCCCACACTCACTACATGGGTTGTTACAGCTGCTATACATCATAAGCATGCACATGGGGTGTGCCCAGGCATTCCCTACTGCACCCAATGTGCCAGTTGCTCCCAGCACTACACCACCAATGGCAAGACATCCCCGCAACCCTTTTTTTCCCTTTAGATAGTGCTGGTCGATTTCATATGCTACTTAGCTTACTGTTGGTGGTATAGTACAGCTATAAAGGCAGGTGCTGTGTCTGCCTCATACTACCCTCTATGGTATTCATTTCTCAAGCAGAGATTATAAGTGGGCATGAGAATGTGACATGACATCCTTTCAACTTCCCATTAGGCTCTGCTCACTGAAAGAATACTGAGCAGACAGAAGGAAAATGGATCCCATGCTTCTTCTCCGCCACTTGATAAGCAGCAGTGTTTTAAGTAGTCAATTAGTATTGGCAATATTCTTCCCATCTAATCTCATGCTTTTAAAAATAAATCAATCAATCAGGATTTCTTTTAATAAAATATTTTTGGGAATTAACATCTGGCTAAATATAGTTTTCTATTTAAAATGCATTATATTCATAATTGAAATTTGATCTTACCGATTAGTGATTTAAGTCAAATTCTCCCTAGTTAGATGCCTCCACATTCTCACTCAACTTTTCTTTTTTTTATGATACAGATTGAGAATTACATACACTTTTATGTTAATAAGCTTGGTTACATTTATTAGTCATAATTTTTATAAGCAATATATATTGAGTGTGGGACAGCCTTCACCTCAAAGATTGCTGGCTTAGAATCACTAACAGACCATAACAGGTAACTGATAACAAGAAGCTAACTGCTATCTCTACACTTTACTCTTCTATACATTTCTAGTACAGTTTCCTATTTTATTTTATAGATGTAAACACTTTTAATGTGAAGTTATTATTTTACACATACAGCTTTTTACAAGAAATGAATTGGTCACATGGTCTGGCAGCCATATCAGGCTGTATGAAAATATTATAAACATTGTCTTCTCTGAAATTGATGGAAGGAATGAATAGAAATTTTGCACATGTCCTTGGCAAGGTCCTCCAATATGATTGATGAAAGAGAGTTAATACCAAACTCCACTGTCATGCAATTATTACATTTGTATTTCCACCACTATGAATCTAAGTGAGTATTAAACTCATATGTTTATGAGTGCCAGAGGAAATGGTAACAGTGTGGCTTCCATTTTGAAATGTAAACAAAATGTAAAACGAATGACACTTTAGAATTGTACAGGTTTAATGGCGAGCTGATGAATAAGAATTAAGCTGTTTCTTTGCCGCATGCTGTGGCAGCCATTTTGGTTTAGGGGATTCTTTTTTCATCTACAAAAATCTTCTGTGATGTTGGTTATGAAACACATGAAAATATATGTGTTGAACTATGTTATGATTTGTATTCACATTTGTTCAAGAGAAGTCTTTGATGTAGTAAAGAACCAGTTTTGGTTGGCTAAAAATATTAAAATACACATGACTGTACAAACTCAATTATCTCCAGGTACACAAAAACACACAATTTTACAACACCCCAAAACAGATATAATATAACCCGGTACTCACTCAAGATTTATATCCCTGGATAGCCTTGATCTGCGTGACCATGATATCCAAAGTCACTCAATCGATTTGGTGGTTAAAATTTTCCTTGGAAGTAAACCTTTGACCAACCGCACGGATTGCTTCTGCCCAAAATAATTCCATAAGAAAAGTGGTAGCAGCTGGTCAATTTCAGGAGTTTAAAACAGAACAAAATCCAGAACTGACCCTCTGGCTCCTAGGTAGTGATAATTTGCCTTGTTCATGCGAACAAACCTACTGAACAGTGGTCTCCTGACATGTTTGGAATAGAAGTAGGTGTTCAACAAAGTTCAGTGGTGTTCGGGAGTTTAAGTGTCCGATTTTAGTTCCATGAACTCAACGACCAAACACCCATTGTCTGCTTAAGCTTAAAAGTGACTACAACAGTGTTCACATTCAGTACACAACATTTCTAGTCTGTGTGAGATCTCTGATGTTTAAAGCATTTCTCACATTCGAAACATGAGAAAGATTTTTCTCCTGTCTGAGTTCTTTGATGAACAACCCGGTCTAAGTACTGCCTAGAACATTTCCCACATGCAGGACATGAAAAAGGTTTTTCTCTTGTGTGAGTTCTCTGGTGACTAACAAGATGAGCGTACTGGCTAAAACATTTCCCACATTCAGGACATGAAAAAGGTTTTTCTCCTGTGTGAGTTCTCTGATGTCTCTTAAGATCTGATTTACAGATAAAACTATTCCCACACTCACTACATGAGAAAGGTTTATCTCCTGTGTGAGTTCTTTGATGTCTCTTAAGCTCTGATTTACTGAGAAAACAATTCCCACACTCACTACATGAGAAAGGTTTCTCTCCTGTGTGAATTTTTTGGTGACCAACAAGATGTGACTCCCGGCTAAAACATTTCCCACATTCAGGACATGAAAAAGGTTTTTCTCCTGTGTGAGTTCTCTGATGTTTCTTAAGATCTGATTTACTGAGAAAACAATTCCCACACTCACTACACGAGAAAGGTTTCTCTCCTGTGTGAGTTCTCTGATGTCTCCCCAGAGCTTGTTTACTAAGAAAACAATTCCCACACTCACTACATGAGAAAGGTTTCTCTCCTGTGTGAGTTCTCTGATGAACAACAAGGCTTGAGTTATAGCTAAAACATTTCCCACATTCGGGACACGAAAAAGGTTTTTCTCCTGTGTGAGTTCTCAGATGTTTCTTAAGATTTGATTTACTGAGAAAACAATTCCCACACTCACTACATGAGAAAGGTTTCTCTCCTGTATGAGTTCTCTGATGTCTCTTAAGATCTGATTTACTGAGAAAACAATTCCCACACTCACTACATGAGAAAGGTTTCTCTCCTGTGTGAGTTCTCTGATGAACAATAAGGCCTGAGTGATAGCTAAAACATTTCCCACATTCAGAGCATTGACATGGTTTTGGTTTTTTATTTATTATCCAATTTCTAGACGTACAGGATTCCAAGAGGTTCCTTGATTTTTGAGAGTTAGTATCCTTGGTACTTTTATTAAAAAAGTTCTTCATAATCTTGATTAGTGTATTTCTGTTCCTGTCACATTCCTTCAAGATTTCTGCTGCTGGAAATATCTGAAAGAAATGTACTGTGATTTAAAGAAAACCTGTTACTATAAATCATTGTTTGTTTACAATATTTGGAAAAACTGACACCATTTTCCTGAAAGATCTGAAATCTGACTATGAAGCTTCATACTGATTGAGAAGGACCTTTTGGGTGCTTTAACTCCTCTATCACAACTTAATTTCATTTGGTTTTGCAAAATGTAATTTTGTCCATATCCCTTACTTAGCTACATTTATACATTTATAGGGGTGACCAGATTTTAGAGAAACACATCTCAGTGAGGAACTAATTCTACAATGATACAATCTGCAACGAACTTGAACATGATTTCCCCTCGCCTCTTTCTACACAGTAAAGGATTCAAGTCACAAGTATTTATACTTTCTGGCTAAAAATAAGCCTAACAAGGTACATACTGAAATGTGTATTGTATGAGTGCTGATCAGTGTATAAAGTGACTGGTGTGTTTAATATGAGCTTCAAGTGATCAGAGCAAGGCAGCGGGAGATTAGAGAGGTCAATGCGTGGCTGAAGTTTTTTTTTTTTTTAGAGCATTGGGCCTACTTTGCGCTTGGGTACAACCTGTATAGTAATGATGGATTGCACCTAAACGGGAGAGGGTCTGCAGTGCTGGGGGATAGGATGGCTAGAAGGTTGGAGGAGATTTTAAACTAGTAGTAGGGGGGGAGGGTCATAGTAATGTACAAAAAGGAGATAGGACAGAAAGGAGATGGGCTTCAGCTCAGTTTAAGGGGGGTGAAGACGGGGGAGGGGCAAGCTCAGAACAGAGAAGGTATGTAATGTTGATAATTCACAAAAAGTACAAGTGACCCATGATATGAAATGTATGCTTACTAATGCAAGGATCCTAAATAACAAAATGGGGTAGCTAGAGGAATTGCATACACTAAACAATATGACATAATAGGCATAACTGAAACATGGTGGGATGAGACACATGAGTGGGCAGTTAACTTAAATGGGTACATGTTATTTAGGAAGGATAGGAAAAACAAGAAGGGTGGTGGGGTATGTTTGTATGTCAACCACGAGTTACAGCCAAATCTTAAGCAAGTGGAATGTGATGAGGAAAATGTGGAAGCTTTATGGGTAAATATCTGCTTGGGGGAAAAGAATGAAAATCAACTATTGGTTGGTATATGTTATAAACCACCTAATGTTAATATTGACGAGGAACAACAGCTGTTTGAGCAAATGGTGAAAGCTGCAAATCTGGGTAACACTTTAATTGATAAATTGGGACAGAGGGACTAGTAGCTAAGCAAAGGGAATTAGGTTTTCGAACTTTTAAATGACACCTTCATGTCACAACTTGTACAAGCACCAACTAGAATGGACGCTTGTCTGGACCTGGTTTTAACAAACAACGTTGATCTTTTGACCAACATTCAAGTAGGTGAGCACTTGGGAAATAGTGATCACAATATAGAGTCCTTTGAAATAAACTCAAAAAAAACAAAAGCACATGGGGTATACTAAAACATATAATTTTAAAAAGGCCAATTTCAATAAGGCATAAACTCTTTAGTGAAGAGAACACTGAGGATAAATGGAACATCTTCCAACAAATATTAGAAAGGTACATGTCTCAGTATGTACCATTGGGCAATAAATATAAAAGAAACAAATTAAGACCAATGTGGCTTAGTAGAGAAGTAAAACAAGAGATTACAACTAAGAAAAGGGCATTTAAAGCATTTAATTCGGACAAATCAGATGCATCTTATAAAAGATATAAGGAAGCCAATAATGCATGCAAAAAAGCAATTAAATTTGCTAAACTTCAAAATGAAAAAATTATAGCTAAAGAGAGCAAAACCAACCCAAGGCATTTTTTAAGTACATAAATTAAAAAAAAACAACTAAAAATGAAAGTGCAGGCACACTAAAAACTGAAACGGGATTGGTTAATGAAGACCAGGAAAATGCATGAATTTTAAATAACTATTTCTCGTAGCAAATGATTGCTACTAAAACTTGCAGAATAATTGTAATTGGTTAACTCAAGACAAGGTGCTGCAGCAACTAAAGAAAGTTAATATAAACAAAGCATCCACGAGTACTTAAGGAGCTAAGTGTAGAAATAAGTGAACCTATGTGTTTAATCTTTCAAGATTCTTTTCTTTCAGGAAGTGTTCCGGAGAATTGGAGGAAGTCAGATGTGGTTCTTATATTCAAAAAGGGTTCAAAATCCTTGCCTGGAAATTATAGACCTGTGAGCTTGACTTCTGTGGCTGGGAAAATATTTGAAAGGTTATTAAGGGATAATATTCAAGAATTCCTTGAGAAGAACATGGTTATCAGAAAAAAAATCAGCACGGTTTTATAAAGCACAGGTCATGTAAAACTAACTTGATTGCGTTCTACAAAGAAGTAAGTAGAAGTATAGATCAGGGTGTTGCAGTGGATGTGATCTATTTGGATTTCACCAAGGAATTTGATACAGTTCCACACAATAGATTAGTGTTCAAACTCAAGGAAATCGGTCTAGATGAAAATGCTTGTTCTTGGCTTAAAAACAGTACAAAGAGTTGTCATTAACCCCTTAAGGACACATGACATGTGTGACATGTCATGATTCCCTTTTATTCCAGAAGTTTGGACCTTAAGGGGTTAAAGGACCACTCTAGGCACCCAGACCACTTCAGCTTAATGAAGTGGTCTGGGTGCCTGGTCCAGCTAGGGTTAACCCATTTTTTCATAAACATAGCAGTTTCAGAGAAACTGCTATGTTTATGAATAGGTTATGCCTTCCCCTATTTCCTCTAGTGGCTGTCCCATTGACAGCCGCTAGAGGCGCTTGCATGCTTCTCACTGTGATTTTCACAGTGAGAGCACGCCAGCGTCCATAGGAAAGCATTATGAATGCTTTCCTATGTGACCGGCTGAATGCGTGCGCAGCTCTTGCCGCGCGTGCGCATTCAGCCGACGGGGAGGAGAGAAGGAGGATCGGTGGAGGAGAGCTCTCCGCCCAGCGCTGGAAAAAGGTAAGTTTTAACCCCTTTCCCCCTTCCAGAGCCGGGCGGGAGGGGGACCCTGAGGGTGGGGGCACCCTCAGGGCACAATAGTGCCAGGAAAACTAGTATGTTTTCCTGGCACTATAGTGGTCCTTTAATGGTAAATTTTCAAGCTGGACAGAGGTGGCAAGTGGTGTCCCTCAAGGGTCTGTTCTGGGACCCCTACTATTTAACATTTTTTATAAGTGATCTTGAAGAAAGCATTGAAAGTTATGTTTCAGTGTTTGCAGGTGACACAAAACTCTGTAAAATAATACAATGTGAGCAAGATATTACTTTGCTGCAGAGGGATTTAGATAGACTGGGCACTCAAATGGCAGATTAAATTTAATGTTGAAAAATGCAAAGTTATGCACTTCCGCGTAAAGAATACACAAGCAACGTATACCCTTAGTGGAAGAGAATTAGGAATAACAAAAGATGAAAAGGACTTGGGAATTGTTATAGACAACAAACTATGCAACAATGTGCAATGTCAATCAGCAGTGGCCAAGGCCAGTAAGGTATTGTCATGCATGAAAAAGGGCATTCATTCTCGGGACGAGAATATAATTTTGCCTCTTTATAAATCACTGGTAAGACCACATATTGAATATGGAATTTTGGGCACCTGTTCTAAAGAAGGATATTATGGCACTAGAAAAAGTGCAGAGGCGGGCTACAAAATTAATAAAAGGAACGGAACATATCAGCTATAAAGAAAGGTTAACAAATGTAAACCTATTTAGTTTAGACAAACGTTGCCTGAGAGGAGAAATGATAACATACAAATATATTCGGGGCCAATACAAACCATTGTGTGGAAATCTATTCACAAACCGGACTTTACATAGGATACGAGGTCGTGCGCTTAAACTGGAAGAAAGAAGATTTTGTCTAAGGCCTTTCTATTAACGTGCTTTGATATAGCACTTTGGGAACATCCAACTTCCTTTGCAATTACCTTTTGGGGCTTTCCCTCCTTCTGGGAGTTTCTGCACAACTGTCAGGTCAGCAGTCTTCCCCATGATTGGGATTCCTACTGAACCAGACTGAGAGAACATTTAAAGGCTCAGAAACCCTTTGCAGGTGTTATGGCTTACTTAGCTGATTATAGTGGGACACTGTGAGCCTAGAATATTGCACCTTTTCACAATATTCTAATTTACTGAAATTGTGGATTTGGGGTTCTCATGAGCTGTAAACCATAATCATCGCACTTATGACAAATCACAGCTTGAACTATCTTATATATAGGTTTCATCCTTTTAATGAAATAAATGAAGTTTTGCACGATATTCTATTTTTTTGAGACTGTAGAGTCTTGATCGTTGTTAGTCATGATTCCCTCCTACGCTAAACATACTTTAGTGAAGAACTGCATATGTAAAAACAGTATGTGTAAAACCATACTAAAGAACACTATAATGAACACTATAGAAAATGTCAAATTTTGAAATCGCTATTGAGGCCAAATGGTAATATCGAATTAAGATTGAATATCCATCTCATTTCTAGTTGGCCCATTTTTTTTTTTTAAATGAAAATCCTCTTCTCTCCAGTTAATATTAACTCTCTGAACTCCCATAAATTTAAGGTGTTTTGGGTCATATTCATGTTTGTGTTTAAAATGTAATGATCTGCACAATAGAGATCTTTTTTCTTTTCTAAGGACACCTATATGATATATATCATGTGCTTTCTAAAGTGCTTTATGGGTTAGGAGTGTCCCTTTAAAGAAACTAGGAAAATGTAACGATCATTTTGGACATAGAGTAAAAGAAAAGGCTGTGATTTTATAATACCAGCAAGTCTGGATTTCTTACTAGACAGGAATACACAACCTGACATTGTTATCGTCATAGTGTAAAATATAAGCATAGCTCAAAGACTATTGTTATCGACCGATATTTATTTTTTTAAAGCTGATAACGATAATCAGTGATCTTTCAGGCCGATAGCCGATATCTTACCGATATTCTGTACTTTTACCGTAATTTCTTTTTTTTGCAAATCTTTTTTTTTTTTTAAGTGGAAAATGCACAAAATATACATGACAGTCAGATTTTTTTTTATGTTTTCAAGAATATTTATATGTGTGTGGTGGATGTAGTGAGAGTATTTGATTAGTAAATGCAGTGTGTGTTTGTGTGGGTTTGTGTAGTGGATGCAATGTGTTTGTTTGTGTAGTGGATGCTGTGTGTGTGTGTGTGTTTGTGTAGTGAATGTTTGCGTGAAAATATGTGCGGTAAGAACACCCCTCCCGCCCACCTCTTACCTGTTTCTTAGTGGCCCTATTCCCCTTAATGTTCCTCTCCCTTCTCTTTTAGTGGTCCCCCCCTTACTCCAGTGTTCCTTTTCCCTTCCTTCCCCTTAGTATCCTCCGTTAATGTTCCTCTCTCCCACCTAGTGTTCTTTCCCCCCTGCCCTGTCCCATTGTGTTCTTCACCCCCTTCCCTGTCCCATAGTTTTCTTCACCCCCTTCCCTGTCCCATAGTTTTCTTCACCCCCCTTCCCTGTCCCATAGTTTTCTTCACCCCCCTTCCCTGTCCCATAGTGTTCTTCCCCTCCCTTCCCATAGTGTTCTTTCACCCCTGCTCTCCATAGTGTTCTTCACCCCTTCCTTGTCCATATAGTGTTCTTTCACCCCTCCTGTCCCATAGTGTTCTCCCTCCCTTGTCCCATATTGTTCCCTTTCCCAGTTTTCTTTCCACATAGTTTTCATTTCCCTCCCCTATAGTGTTCTACCACCCCTGCCTCATAATGATCCTTGCCACCCCCATCCCATAGTGCCACCCCCCATCCCTTAGTGCCCCTCTCTCACTCTCTCTCTTCTCCTTGATCCCAGGTGTGTATCTCCCCTCCTTGGTCCCCGTTCCCGGTGTGTCTCCTGGTAGCGTGGCCGAGCAGAGCAGTGCACACTGCGGTATAGGAGATTCAGTCTCCTGTACCCGGCCGGACTGACAGGAAGTGCTCTCTCAGTGAGCACTTAATTTCAGTTCGGCCGGGTAGAGGAAACATAAGTTCCTGCACCACGGTGTGCACTGCTCCGCTCGGCCACGCTACACAGAGTGCCTGGCAGGAGGGAGCGCTGTGCGCCCACCTCCTGCCAGTCACTCCAATCTAGAGCCCCCCGAGAAGTTGCGCCCTAAGGCGGCCACTTGTGCTACCTTATGGACGTGCTGGTCCACCCATTCATTTTCGATCATAATCGGCCGATTCCAAAATTCACAAGAAAAATAGGAATATCGGTCGATAATATCGGCAAAACCGAAAAACGGTCGATCCCTAGTGTGTATGTCTCTGCCTGTGTGTGTCTCTGAGAGGTTATTTTACTCACCTTTTTTCCCATGCTGTATCAGTTTTGCCACGATTTGTCCCACCTCCACAGCTGAGATCATCAATCTTTATGATCTTAGCTAAGCCTAAGGGAGGATATTGTGCATGTTCTCTATGGTTAACATTCAGCGCTTCCATGCAGAGCACTAACACAGGACTTGAGTGACGGCTACTAGAGGTCTTATTTGGTAGCAATGTAAACACTGCCTCTTCTTTGAAAATACAGCGTTTACATTGGAAAGGTGACAGGGACAAGCAATAGGCACCAGAACAACTACATTACCTGCAGTGGTTCTGGTGACTATAGTGTCCCTTTAAGAAAAACTGGCTCCTAACATTTTTAGCTGGCTCCTAGATTCCAAACAAATTTGTCAAGCCCTGCACTATTATCAAAAGCGCAGCTTAGATGAAAATCTAAATCCACAGAAGGGTCACTGTAGAAAAGAAAAGAGAAAAGTGGGGGGAAACCTACTGCCCAAGTACCAGAACCCTTGTGTTTCAGCTGAATCTGCGATATCAGGAATGTGAAATAGGGAATCGATTAAATGTAGGCATAACTTAATTGTGTTAGTAGGTAACAATTTAACCCTTATAAAAGCAGGCCGGCATAGAATATAACATTTTATCTATAAAATCCCTGGAATGCCATTTAAGATACACCTTTCATTAGTAGAACTAACTAGGTCCACACTTGAGATGATTTACATGATGGTAAATACTCAGTTTAACTATTCTTGTCTTGATGCTGCATTTCACATATTATAAGAGTTAAAATCCCATAAAACGCTTTCCTGCACAGATAGCATGGGATCGGATACTAATCAGATATAACAGAGGATACCCACACATTAGAATACCAGTTATTTAGATTGGCAGCATACAGAGTTAAAACAACCCTGTTAATGGTAAACCTGGAGAGGGATTTACTTTGCCCAAGGAAAACCCTAAACTTTTTGAGGCTGTAAGCTTGTTTGGGTAGGGCCCTCCTCACCTACCGTTCCTGTTTGTCAGAACATGTTTTCTCAGGATTGTTTGTGTTAGTTCACGTATTGCACAGCACACAGAATATGTTGGCACTATATAAATAACTGTAATTGAATCTTTGGGAGAAATATACCTTCATAGGTCACACTAATGCTATAAATAAAACACGTACCAAATATCTTACAATGTGTTTAAAGTAGAGATCGACCGATATTAGGTATTTTCGGCAATATCAGTATCGGCCAATATAAATACTGATATTGCCGATCAGGACCACAGGGGCCCATGACAAGCCTGGCGATTTTGGGGGGCCCAGCAAGCTCTTACTTACCTTCCCAGCAGCTCCCTTCAGTTATCCTGTCTAACTCTTGCGAGTCCCGCGGCCGTCAGACCATTGCCACAGGTTACCATAGCAACGCTCCGCGCAGCACGCTGGCCACGAGATTTAGACAGGGGAGCTGAAGGGACCTGCTGGGAAGGTAAGTAAGAGCTTGCTGCGCCCCAACTGCACAGTCCATGCCACCAAACCACTAGGGAATGCCATATCCCCCCTCCCTGGCCAGGTAACAAGCAGGGAGGGAAAAAAAAAAAAATTAAATGCCCCCTCCCCCCACATATTACACAAACAGACACACTCTGCATTCATTATATACACACACTACACAAACGCGCACACACACTCTGCATTCATTATACACACACACACTCTGCATTCATTATAAACACACTACATTCACTTTATGCACACTACCCACACACTACACAAACACACATTTTGTATTCATTATATACACACACACACACACTACACACTCACTGCATTCACTATACACTCACTACTCAAACACACACTCTGCATTCATTATCCCCTTAAGGACACATGATGGAAATATTCCATCATGATTCTCTTTTATTTCTTAAGTTGTGTCCTTAAGGGGTTAAATACACACTACACAAACACTGCATTCACTAATTGAATACTATCACTGCATCCATTACACACACATTTATTCTTGAAAACAAATTCTGACTGGCATGTATATTTTGTGCATTTACCTTAAGAAAAAAAGATTTGCAAAAAAATAATAAACATGTTCAGTTAACAGTAGATTTGTGTAGAAACAGTTTATTTTGCAAATATTTTTTACAGAATATCGGTAAATTATCAGCTATCGGCCTGAAAGTTCACAGATTATCGATATTGTATCTAAAAAAAATCAATATCGGTCGATCCCTAGGTTAAAGGTAAGAAAAAAAAGATAAATAACTTACACATGCATTTGCTATTAGAGGAGATGATTCACAACCTGTGTGTACATTTCTTTTTCTGGTTATTGGAGACAGAGCATCCACAAGGAGGTTGGCTTTCACAAGCATTATAGGAAACCCAGCCATTCTGAAACAAACCAGCATACGCTGAGTACAGCCTTTTCCTCAGTAGATAACCCAGCCTTGGAAATAGCCTAAAATTTGTGTACAAGCTTGCTGGAATATAAACTAATATGAATTTACCTTAAAGATCTCATTCCAACTGTTCTTGCACCTTCTATATGGATAAAGAGGCTATAAGGAACTCGTGTACCAACAACCTTGCCTAATTGCCTCACTATGTGTAGGACATAATAACAGAACACACAGAGGCTAATGTGGATTGCACCTGGCAGTCACATAGCCAAAATTAAACTTATTTAGGAAACAGAGACTATTAAGGTGAAAACCACTTGAAAACCTCACCTTAAAAGGCCTCTGGAGTGCTGGTGAGAGCACACTGACACACACGCGGAGACCAGAAAGTTACTGCTGGGTTTAAATATCCTGACAAACGCCAGATTTAAAATTGGCAACAGGTGCTGAGTTTGCTTTGCACATGAGCAAAGCACTCTGTGATCTGTAAATGGAATGCACCACCACCCCAGTGTGCTTTCCAAATACGGAGCCTCTCAGCTGCGTGCACCTTCGCGTCATCCGTCTCCCAGCTGCCCAGATTGACCGGATGTGATAAAGGAGTGAAGCACAGGAGCCTGTTGTGTGTTCCATATCTAATGATAATTGAAGGACAAGCGCACAGACGGAGCCCTCCCGGAGCCAAAGTCCCATGTCAGGCCAAAACACAAAAATGTGAGTAGCTTCACTTAATCTGCCAAGGGCACGTTGAGGACATGCAAAGACTAGGGATCACAGGGTGGAGTTACCATTTATAAGGCTAGGATGGGAGGAGTCTGGGGTGTGGACTGCATTTGTTTTTTTTACCTTTTTAATGCTAGTGGCCCTGTGAGGAATGGTCATTTGTTATGACTGCTGCTTTGAAAATCTTACTTTTTCCACCTCCTGTATACATCAGACTACCTCCGGAATATCTCCAAGTGCACTTTGTAGCAGCAATCCAGCTCTCTCTCCCTTCATGCTGCCCCTTCTCCTTCTGTCTTTCTCTATGTTGCCACCTCTCCTTTTCTCTCTCTCGCTCTCCTTCACTAGACCACCAAGGATCCAGGATCCATGCAAGACTGTCAGAGTACGACCCCCACTGGACCTACAGGGAAACGCACCAGGAAAGAAAAGCAGAAGTAAGGAGTGGCAAAACAGAGTACTACACAAAGTCACACTGCATACAGTCAGCACAAATTACACCCAGCTGACACAAACGACATAAACACTTATTACATCTAGCCATTGCAAACAAAAAAGCAAAACTGAAGGAAGGGGTGGCAATTAAAAATCACACCACACAACGACACATTACATTTAGCATCACTCACGAAACCCAGCTGACACACACAATATACACCCTTATTACATCTAGTCGCCACATATACACTATGGGGAGGACAGCGTACAAGACACTAAAGTCAACATTTTTGCAAATCCAAACAGAGGTAAAAATAGCCAGTAGTGACTATAGATGAGCTATGTTTTGCCTACATTTTTCTATTCGGATTACATTTGGGAAAATTCAGAGCCCTGCCAGTCTTCATGTCTAAGCAGGGTCCCCAAACTTCTAATTTAAAATTATTTGGGGACAAGTCTAGACAAGTAGATTGGGTTACCACTTTAGTCCCAGGTACAACCACATTTTTAAATGTTTACCCTGTCATTGTTCTATAGTTGAAATAACAAAAGGCATCATGTGTTTAATGTGAGCCATTAGGGTTTAGGTATCTCAAACATATATTACATGAGGTCAGGAGCATATCTGAAGAAATGTATAATTTGTCCCAGATATAAATGTGTCTTCTGATGAGAAAGAGTTTTGATAAAAAGGGGGAGTGGTTTCTTACCTAGAGAGCAGAGGGTCTGATAGTTCTCATTAGATGCCTGCACAGCTTCTTGTATTCTTGATTTAAACAGTCCCGCTGGTCCTCAGAGAAGTAAACGGCCACTTCCTCAAACTCAAATTGTTCCTAAATAACACATTATTTCCACTGTTACAAACTATCAATCTACAAACAGCAAATGCAGCTGAATTATTTATCTGGAAATTAACTCTACCTTTCATAACATATGTTCTCTCAGTGTCTTCCATTATAACCTGTTGGTTTACGACCCTTCAATATTGGTCACTATGGCTCATTTAAGGTATGATTAGATGTCACCAACAGACATCTGTTTTCCAGTCATTCTTAGCTTATTGCATTTATAGCTTTATAGGGAACAAAATCCTGTTGCAAGTTAAAGGAACACTATAGGCTCAGGAACACAAAGGTTTTTTCCTGACCCTACAGTGTCAAATACCCTGTTATCACTCTTGTCCCCCTTACCCCATTAAAAAGCTGTAATTCTTATCATTTTACAACTCTGTGTGGGGCTCCTTGCATTTGGCCTGCTCCTGATCCACCTCTAAAACTGACGATTACAGCCTATTACAATGCTTTCCCATAGGAAATAATTGGATTGGCTGAGATTATCAAGGAGACAGTTCAGGGGCGGGGCCCAACGCTGCTCTGGCCAATCAGTATCTTCTCATAGAGCTGCGTTGCATCAATCTATCTCTAAGAGGAAAGTTTAGTATCTCCATGCTGAGCGTGGAGACGATGAACATCAGTGCTGCACTGACCCAAAATTCACATCTAGTGGCCAGCTAAGGAGTGGCCAATGGAGGTGTCCCTAGGCAATAATGTAAACACAGAATTATCTCTGAAATGGCAGTGGTTATAGCAAAATGCACATGCACGGTGATGACCGCGTTCACATTATTCAATGCTTTCCTATGGGGAGAACTCTGAAGCTGGAGGTCCTAATGCTGAGCGTGAGGGCATCCATCATCAAACAACGGACCAGAGGTCCTATGCGATACAGGAAGTGCCACCAGTGGCTGTCGACCACTACCAGACTTAGTGCTGCAAGGTAAACATTGCAGTTTCACTAGGTGCAAATGGGAAATTGCACCCCGAACTACTGAAGTATCTGGGTGCCTACATTGAACCTTTAACTTTCTAAACTGTTTTGGTTAATTATTCTAGTTGATAACTTGACTATCACTGCATAAATATTGTAATAAATGAAACAATGACCAAAATAAATATAAAATATGTGTATTGAATGAATATTACAGAAAGAAAAATAACAGGTTAATAATCTTACAAAGAGAATTGATGTGAAGAATGACTGCAGGATGTGTGCACTATGGATGAATGAGGAGGTCTGACTGTCCTTTTACATGTTTATATAGCTGTATCTTTCTCCCAAAAGGCTCTCACATACTCCCTGCCATAGTTGCCAGCTGTCCTGTTTTTGTTGGGACAGTCCCGGCAAGTTGGAGACTGTCCCAGGTAATTTGCTCATCCCATCACTAGCATCCATCCCCCACTTCCCATAACTAGCATCCACCCCCCCTTTCCATCTCTAGCATCCATGCCCCCTCTTCCAATCACTAGCAGCCACCCACTCTCCCCTTATCACTAGCAGCCATCCCCTCTCCCCTTACCACTAGCAGCCATCCCCTCTTCCCATCACTAACAGCCTATTCCCATCACTAACATCCACCCCCCTCTTCCCATCACTAGCATCCATACTTTCCTCCCATCACTAGCAGCCAGCCCCCTCTCTTCCAAATCACTAGCAGTCACCCTCACTTCCCCATCACTAGCAGCCAACCCCCTCTCTCTCCCTTCCATTACTAGCAGCCATCCCCCTCTTCCCATCACTAGCAGCCATCCCCCTCTCTTCCCATCACTAGCAGCCATCCCCCTCTCTTCCCATCACTAGCAGCCAACCCCCTCTCTCTCCCTTCCATTACTAGCAGCCATCCTTCTCTCTCCCCCTATCACATGCAATCACTAGCACCCCCCATCTCTCCCCATCACTAGCAGTCACTCTCTCTCCCTCTCATCACTAGCAGATACCCCTCTCTCTCCCCCCTATCTCCCTCACACAAAGGGGCAAAAGGGGGTAAGGCATTCAAAAGAGGGGATATGAAACACTAAATGGCTTAATAAATTCAAAAGTGGGGTTACGAGAGACACACAGGTGTGTGGAGGGGGGCATGTCTTCGCCTGTGTAGCCAAAAATTCTTGCACAGAGCCTGACTGATAGTGGGCCCTAATGTGTCTTTAACCTATTTTGCAGTCTGAGGGGAATTCAGGAGGGAGGTGCTGAAGACTGGAGATAGGTATTGGGGATGCTGCTGGGGCCCGGAGGGAGCATGGAGTCTCCCTTTCCGAATTCCCAGCAGCTTTCCAAGCACACAAGCTCCGCTCCACCTTGTGCACAAAGACCTGCCCCCACACCTGCTGGCTTTGCCCCTGCTGTTAAGCAGCAGACCTTGCTGCAAAAAGAGGCCAGAAAATGGCTACTTGACCTCTTCTCCCCTAGCAACATTCAGGTAGGCTTGAGGTATTCAGCAGCCCATCTTCTGTGTGTATGTGCCTACTAGTGATACTGTGATGGGATTCCAGCATGGTTAAAATTTAGTAGGCCAAGATTTCCATGTGGCATATGTGTATGTTGTGTCAGTTGGTTAGCTACATGTAGCTAGGATACTGTCATCAGTGTACTGAGCATGTGCAGGAATGCAGGAACTGAAATTGCACTTATTTCCTTTGTCTTGGATGAGCCATGTGGTTTGACTAGATGTACAAGTCTATATTCTGCTCATTGATTGGTCTGAGGAATATAGGAGGGGTTATACTGTATGGGAGGAGATATGCAGTTAACAAAAGTCCCAAGCCACAAGTATATGTCTCTCAGATCTTTTGGAACAGGAGTTCATCTGAGACCCGATCGGTAATGTGAATAAAGGCCTGTTACTTCCTGAAGACCTGTGTCCAATATTTCTGTGTTTGGCTTCTGCATGCTTACACTGCAACAATACAACCTTTGTGTGTCAGTGAGCTTGTTTGCATTGAGCGTGTGTGTGTGTCTGTCTGTGAGCCTATTTCTGTGTATCAGTAACCTTATGCTTTTGTTAGCGAGCCTATGTATCAGTGAGCTTGTGTGCTTATTTTGTATTTACTTTTTTTTGTGGCATGAAAAGGGGCTAATGGAATATGTGCATTCATTTTCCTTTGCTCCCATTTCTCTCATTAATTCATTTTAATTATTAGGGTTTAGGAAACTAAAAACTTAAACATATATTACATGAGGTCAGGAGTATATCTGAAGAAATGTATATTGTGTCACAGATATAAATGTGTCTTCTGATGAGAAAGATTTTTGATAAAAAGAGAGGAGGGGTTTCTTACCCAGAGAGCAGAGGGTCTGGTAGTTCTCATTACAAGCCTGTACAGCTTCTTGTATTCTTGACAATTTCAGCCAATCACAATGCATTGCCATAGGAAAGAATTGGATTGGCTAAGATTATCAAGGGGTGGGGCCAAACGTTGCTCTGACCAATCAGTATCTTCTCAAAGAGCTGCATCAATGCATCTCTAAGAGGAAAGCTCAGTATCTCCATACAGAGTGGGAGACACAGAATGACAGTGACTCAGGAAGCATCACTAGTGGCCAGCTGAGGAGTGGCCACCAGAGGTGTCCCTAAGCACTAATGTAAACACTGAATTACCTCTGAAACGGCAGTGTTTATAGCAACATGCCTGTAGGGACTGACTATAGTCACCAGAACAACTACACCAAGTCTTTCTAGTGACTACAGTATCTATGACAGACGCTCCTTTCCACATACGTGTGCTAAAAAGTCCTGAAAGGACCACTCTAGGCACCCAGACCACTTCAGCTTAAGTGGTCTGGGTGCCAGGTCCTCCCAAAAATGCTCTCACATGCTCCCTGCTATATGATGTAATGTATGGTATTTAGCTGCAGTCAGCAGACACTATCTATTGCTAGCTTCAAAAGTACAAAGTCAGGGTTTCTTGTTAACCCTTTGATTGACAGGCAACACATGGCTTTGTGCTAACTTAAACATGTAACCCTTCCGTTGATGAGTTAACCTTGAAAAATGCCATGTGTCTGAAGTATATGCAACAATGATATGTTATACATTAAATAATAATGATACGCATTCCACACAACCCACAGAATATCTGTATCACCCTCTACCATATCATTTAGTTATACTTCCCAATTTAAACTAATTGTCTGACTAGTGGCAACATTCCATTAATGACTCAGAATCCTCCCCACTGCCCATCTCTCTCTCTCCCTCCATGCTGCCCCCCTCCCCATCTCTCTCCCTCCATGCTGTCCCCCTCCCCATCTCTCTCCCTCCATGCTGTCCCCCTCCCCATCTCTCTCCCTCCATGCTGTCCCCCTCCCATCTCTCCCTCCATGCTGTCCCCTCCTCCATGCTGCCCCCCCCACCATGCTGCCCCTCCCCATCTCCCTCCATGCTGCCCCTCCCCATCTTTTCTCCCTCCATGCTCCCCTCCCCATCTCTCCTCCATGCTGCCCCCCCCTCCCCCATCTCCCTCCATGCTGCCCCCTCCCCATCTCCCCTCCCCCATGCTGTCCCCCTCCCCATCTCTCTCCTTCCATGCTGCCCCCCACCACATCTCTCCTCCCATGCTGCCCCCTCCCCTCTCTCCTCCATGCTGCCCCTCTCATCTCTCCTCCTGCTCTACCTCCCCATCTCCCCCCATCCTCCCATCCTCTCTCCCCTCCATGCTGCCCCTCCCCATCTCTCTCCCCTCCGGCCTGCTGCCCCCCTCCCCTCTCTCTCCCCTCCATGCTGCCCTCCTCTCCATCCTCTCCTCCTTGCTCCCCACCTCCCCATCCTCTCCCTCCATGCTGCCTCTCCCCATCTCTCTCCCTCCATGCTGCCTCCCTCCATGCTGCTGCCCCCTCTCACTCTCCCCCCCCATACTGTCCCATTTACCCCTGCCTCAGCCCCCCAGTTGTAGTGTATAAACTTGCCTGCCTGGAGACACACACTCCGTTCAGTGAGCACTCACACTCCGTTCAGTGAGAATACACTGTGCTCTGTCTCTGCACAGGGGGGAGGGGGGATGACGTCACCGCTGTGTGTGAGTAGGAAGTGAAGCTGGGCTCACAGTCAGCAAGCATGGAGACTGACAGTGTGCTCACAGAGGGGATCTGAGTCCTCAGAGTAGCTGGATGAAGCTGGCAGACCCTGTGTGTATTCCTACTAATGGAACTTGCTAAAACAACTGAATGATTGACATTTTATTTTACACCATTAGATTGTGTCTATGGATCCTGTATGGGCTGCTGGGGGGGGGCTAAGCCAAGAGCAACTTAAACTAACTTAGAAATACATTAAGAAGTTTAATAATGCACGCTGCCCAAATTCACACACTGATTATCTCCGACACACACTGTATTTCCCTTTAACAAACACGATTATTATTATTATATTATTTATATAGCGCCGGCAAACTCCGTAACGCTGTACTGTAGCCCTTGCTTTCTCACAATCACTTCTCCTCTGTCACACACTGTCATTACACTGGGGTCTAATCATTATTATTTATAGAGCGCCAGCAAATTCCATAGCGCTGTACAATGGGTGACTAATGTTACGAACACCCAGGGCTGATCAGAGATAAATACGCTGATTTAAAGGTCATCTAAAAAGAGGAAAAACTTCAATTCATAAATGCAATGTTTAGTAGATATTCCCCTAGATATACTTTGACTATAGCGGTTAAGGCTATACAGAGCATTGTTGGCTGTACGTCCCGTTTTATATCTATTGTTACAGTAGGAAATTTCATGATTTACATTTTATTTTACACAAACATGCTTTCGACACTGCCTTTTTATTAAAGGTTTAATTGCCATTAAATTGGGTCATTATTGATGTAACATTGGATATACCCATGGGCGTCCCCAGGAATTTCTCGGGGGGGGGAGGGAATAATTGTAATGACATCCATGCTTGGTCCCTTTTTGACAGTGTCATGAAGGGGAGGAGCATAGTCATTATTACATAAAGGCAGGGTGAATAGCGTTTTCACACCATGTTTGTATTCCTGGCACTATAGTGTTCCTTTAACCCCATAGTGACCAAGCCGCTGGGACAAAGGCTCTTTTTACATTTCTGTTTGTGTTTGTGTTTAGCTGTAATTTTCCTCTTACTTATTTACTGTACCCAAACATATTATATGCAGTTTTTCAGTTTGCATATTATATGCAGTTTTTCTTGCCATTAAATGCTCTTTCTGAAGATACCATTATTTCAATTATATAATTTACTATAAAAAAATTATAAAATATGATGAAAAAATTGAAAAAACACACTTTTTCGAACTTTGACCCTCAAAATCTGTTACGCATCTACAAATGCCAAAAAACACCCATGCTAAATAGTTTCTAAATTTTGCCCCGAGTTTAGAATTGCCCAATGTTAGCATGTTCTTAGCTTTTTTTTTTTTAGGAAAGTTATAGGGCTACAAGCACAAGTAGCACTTTGCGATTTCCAAACCATTTTTTTTCCCAATTAACACAAGTTACAATGTAACACTGATATCTGTCAGGAATCCCAGAATAACCCTTCACATGTATATATATATATATTTTTTTTTTAAAAAGGCAACCGAAGGTGTTAAACCTGGGGTATTTTGAATCTTTTCATGCAGCCATTTTACCACCAACCTATGCCAAATAAAAAAATTAAAAAAATAATTGGTGACTTTTGTGAGACACACAGCAATTTAAGAATATATGTACTGAGAACTTTAAGGGTTACTGCCAAAGAACACCCCAATATGTGTTCAGCAACATTGTCCGAGTACAGGGATACCATCCATGTATAGGTGTGTCTGGTTTTCTGGGGGCTAAAATACCTTATTTGGAGGGTGCGCATTCTAGTTTTCCAACTTGGAATTTTCAGTTAGTCATCATGCACCCATGAAGCCTGACAATATAATTTACCCCCATCAAACCATATATTTTTGAAAAGTTGACACCCTAGGGTATTTCAAATGGTGGTATTTTAACACTTTCCATGCACTAATTCTACCACCAGCCTTTGTCAAACTTTTGGATAGTCGTTTTTTTGTGTTATTTTTCTCTCACATTGTACTTTAGGCATGGATTTTTAGTTCTGTTTATGTGTTACTGACAAAGAAACCCCCAATGTACAGGTTTTATGGGCTTTTGCAAACTTACAGGGGTCAAATGTAGGGCTTTTCCATGTTTGCACATTGGAATGTGCCAGTTTGGTTTGCTGGGCCTATGTTGCCTTTGAGACCATATAGCCAGGGTCGCCACCAGAAAATTTGGGGCCCCTAACTCAGCTCAGGGTCTGGGCCCCCTGGGACACTGACACAGACACCGACATCCATACACACATACATACACACAGACATACATTCATACAGACATACTTACAGACACTGACATCCATACACACAACCATTCATAATGGCAAAAAGACATACATTCATAATGGCATACAGACATTCAGACTGACATACATGCATATATACAGACATACTGACAGACAGACATACATACATACTGCTATACATGTATACAGACATCCATACACACATACATACGTTTATAATGACATGCA